CGTTTCTCCTTGACCTTGACCAGAATAATCAGTTTCAGTTGTCAGTACCTTTCTGTGTGCTAAAAATAAGTAGTTTGGGGACAACTGTGGAGTCAGTGGAAATCAGCCACCTACTTTAGCACATGTCCAGCCATTTTAATGTCAGTCTTATGGAAGCTTAACCTACTACAGAACTTTGAATTAAGTCTTCAGCTGATCAACAAACTACAATTAATAAACATAGTACCCGAGGATCTTATGTAATCCCCCAGAAGACCACACAAGAAATGCATCAAATTTGCATTTATAACAAAAAAGTTATTACTAAATGTTTGCACATGGAATTATAATCCTTACTGTAATTCTTTGCAGCTGGATTTGTTGTTTTCCATCCACCTTTTAAATGCTTTTGATAAAATTGATGAGATGACCACTGGCACCACAAATCCGCAGTACTACTGCAAACGGTCAGGAATAATATTTACTATTTTAATATGTAAGGAACAACAAATGCATCTTTTACATTTTATTGCTATTCAGAAATCTAAATGGCCTTATGTCGTTGAGTAACGGCACTGTGCCCTTATTCCTGTAATGGAGCAGAGTCAATGAATAATGGCTGTTTCAGAATAGCCTGTAACGAAATGCAAAACTCTGGTTGGTTAAAACAGGAAACAAATTCTGAACTGGCTGCTCTTTCAAAGAGCGTATTAATCTGTCGGCACATCATGTTTTATAAAACCGCACTATTTTAGCTTGAACCGCTGCAGTGTTTCTTAGTAGATGCAGGGGCACGTAAGCGCGGTCAGAGGCCCCTGGGCAGTTTGAGTTCTCAGAGCCCCCCCCCCCCCCCCTACAGGTTTCCATGATGGTAAAGTTGTCCTTCTGGGAGTGGGGGTCGCAATGGTGATAGTTGTTGGGGGGAGGAGGCAGTGAAAGGTGAAAGTTGTTGGGGGGTGAGTGGGTGTGTCGGGGATGATAAATGTTGTCAATGAGAGTGGGGGGGTGGAGTTAAATATTTTATTAAACAAGGTTACTTGTGGCCCCCATTTTAGTGAAGACCCCTGGACTACAGCTCTGGTAAGCCCATACATTAGTATATATGGTATTAAAAGCTACCATAGATTCTTCACCAAGTAGCTATATTTACATAACACATAAAATGCTGAACCAGTATGAAATGAAAGATAAGATTTTCTCCTTCACCTGGTATCTAATCTCTTTTCGAACTTTGTTTGAGGAACAGTAGAAAGGTAGTTACTGTAAAACGTCTCAACATCCTACATTCTCACCAAATGACTTGCAAATAAATTTTGCTTCAGTTTTTAGCCTGGAATGGATTGTGGCTCCTGCACTGATGTCCTCCACAAATCAGCTTGCTGGAGAAAACCCCGCCTACCTTTAGTTACTATCAGACTTCTCTCAGACTAATGTTAAACGCCTCATGCTCTTGGAGTGTAGGCTTGATATATGTGCTCATTTTTGTTATTCCTTCCTGATTAGATCCCATCCATCCATCCATCCATCCATCCATTTTCTATAGACATTTATCCTGTACCAATTTACAGTGGGCCTTCAATATATCCCAGGAAATATTATGTGGAAAGCAGGGAACATAATTCAAATTATTTGTCCAAATAAATGAAAATTAACAGGAATGACAAGAATGCATAAAATGCTCAGATGATTTGCTAGTATAGCTGTATTTATTTGTGAAAGGTTTATACACGCCTGTGAAGCCTTGTTTTCTCACAGTATGAGAGGCTGTTCGACCAATGCCCGAGCCTTGGTGGACGGTTAACCCACGAGGAGGCTGTGGAGCCAGGGTGTCTTGACAAAGCACAGATGTTCCTTAAAAGCACAGAAAAGAATGTCCAAAGACATCCTAATTAAACATCCTTGTTTTAATCTTTATAGTCTAATCCATAATTCATGCTCTTTAAAAGGGGGCAGTTTTTTCAAACAAACATCTCAGTGGCTTTACGGAAAACAAATATCTTGGTTTTTAAAAAGCATTTATAAAATATGTATATTTGAAAGTGTTCAGCATTCACCTTGGTGATTAAAAACAAATCATTGTAGTTGAGTTATTGGTGGTAAATTATTACACAAACTGTTATTGCCATTAAGTGCTTTCCCTGATTAAAGTTAAAGTTGGTGTATATTCTTGTTACATTTTTGTCTAGATTAATATCCTATTGCACAATTTATGCTTAATACAATGCAACAGTTGTGCTGAACATGGTGAAAGTGTATTTCCCTGTCACTGTTTATTAACAAAAAAGTTCCACAGCACTTCAGTCATAAATGACCTATTACCATGGATCCCAGCCATAAACAGCTTCGATCGCACTGTGCCATCGCTCAGCAACTTACTGAGCGAATAAACAAAAGCTATTGTTCAGCATGGCTTTGGGCGAGGCTCCAGAAAATTGTACTTCATTGGAGGATAATTTTTCCTAAGTCCAACTCGTCATTATTCATATGTAAGCGCGGGGGATCTGAGGGCATTTGCAGGGGAATTGCGTCATTGCTTACATCTTCAGCCTGCTGAGGATGATGTGATGTGTAAGCATTCATCTTTTATAATTCACTTACTTTACCTGGACTGTGACTTTAGGGCCCACACCCTGGCCAGCTTTTGGCAAGAAAGGCTTCTTACGTCATTCACTGTGCCAATACTTTGTTTTTTTTGGGAGGCTAGCATAGTATGGAAACAACTAACAAATCACACTGCAGTTTTTACAAGGTGGTCTTTTCTACCTAACCGCAAAAAACGTACACAGGTCATCCACATCCAGCACAAAGACTGAAACAGGCTACAGAAATCATAAATCTTCCAAAGTCTGTCAGTACAATAGAATTATCACAGTAAATGATCAGACCTTGATCAATGTATAATATCTGTTCTTTGCTATACCTTCCCTTATACAATTCTTACTTAGCTGCTGCATGTATCTTTACTCACCCCCTCTACATATATTTGAATAATGAGCAGTTTTTAAGAATTCTGTCAGAAATTTAAAAGTACATTTGGCAGTTTTGGGTTTCATGGTAGTTTATCATTGGTCATATTGACAGTCAATCATATACATAAACACATACAGACTTTATATATACATTTTGGGAGTCGTGGAAAGTCTTGCAATGTCTTCTTTTTTTTATTGACAGTCAGAAAAGTTAAATTACACTTAAGGAGTTTGTTATACTGATTGTTAACTTTGCAATATATTATGTAACACTGAATGCTTTTAATGTGAGATAAGATTTGGATTTGCTCAATGACTATGCAAGTGTTCCCCTTTTGACCACAAGGTGGCACTTTGAAAGCGAAGATACGGTTTTATGAGAAGGATGTCTGTAAAAATGCCTGCTTACTTGGGCCCAATAATACAGAAAATTGACCTGGAGTTATAAACATGAGGCCTGTAAAAGAGGTGACATAAACATGTGGCGGTCTCCAACATGTTGTAATAGTTGTTTCTGCCATTTTGGCTGTTAGGCACCCTGCATTACGTACGTTTAATGAAGCTGAATTGTTAATGCCTTTGTCTTATAAACACTCTTTGTTTCAGGGAATGATGTAATCCGTTAAGTCTTAAACTTGAAGGTGTATATGTGTGTCAGAGACTCTTAGTGCTTCTGTGTGCCATTACTGAGAACAACACATATACATTGTTTTTCCAATTTGTTTTGAAAAAGTGTCCCTGCAAATGTTTTATCTGGAATTAATTTGTACGTGTTGCTGAAGTTTTTTTCATCTCTAGGATGCTTGTTTTGTGAATGACAAGCCTGAAATATTTCACCACTGTATGGTTTTATATATACAATTCCATGCTCTGATAATGTACACATAAACAGAGACAGTTAACTTCTAAATAAGTACATATATTCATAGTAATTAACTTCATATTGTATTTTACAGCTATTTTGACCATGAACCTAAAGGATATGTTCTTCAAAATGCTTTTGATTAACCTTCCACAGATATTCTACTAATCTGATTATAAGATTTGTAGATACTTATTGTAATTGACCCTTTACAGGTAAATCACAGGTGTCTGTAGATATTTTGAAGTTGACATCCATATTTCATGTCCTAGTCTGGATCACAGGAGAAGCCAGAGCCTAACCCAGGCAGCATAAGGAACAAGGCTAACATACACCCTGGATGGGATGCCAGTCCATTAAACAGCTCATAACATGCATGCACTCACACAATGCTACACTTTGGGCAATTTAGAGACACCAGTTAGCCTAACTACATGTATTTGGACTGTGGAAGGAAAATCTCCATCACATGGGTGGAGGTAGGAGGTAGTAATGCCAGCAACTGAACTACTGTGCCACCCTACAAAGTTGACATAATGCCTAGAAATAGTTTGCAGCATCTGCAGCCTATCAGGGTGTCTTCTAATCCAGTAGAACATTCCAAAGCTGTTTCTTTACCTGGATGAAAGATTCCGCAACATAAATTTATATAAAGATTTACCCAGTTTGGCGCTTAAGATAATTTCCACCATATCTTCACCCGCTGTTTCTTTGCATACTTGGATCTATGATGGTTTACATTTGGTCAAAATAAATGGGCAATAAGTCCTTTGGAAAAATAACTATTTCATTGTGTCCTTCCATAATATATATGCATTTGACCCTAAATTTTACCTTGGATTTGTTGATGGGTCTGGACACCCTGAAATCATACGATGGCACACTGTCTGCAATGTGTAGTTTTGTTTTGTAATAAAAGTATCCTTTACATAGCCCCCAGGTCTGGCTGGGTAAGTACTTGAAATTCCTGGCATACCATCCACCTTATTACCATGGTTCTTTTAAATCATGCCCTTACTAGAACTAGTGAAAAGGACAAAGCTGAATTAAGAATGTTAACTTAAAATAAATGTAGATTTGAATTTATTAGTATGGCTAGATGTGTTAATGTCCATACAATACCAGTAAAGCAATTCCATTTTTCTGGAACTTACAAAGTAGCATAAGTTTGAATCAGATTTTCACAGCTGTAAGTCTTTATTTTCAGCTTTATTTTTCTTTTAATAAAACATAGAGGAAATACAATGTTTCATAAATAAATCTATATTTTTGTCTATAACATATAAAATTATTATTTAACAATTTAGTATAACACTTAATGTTCAAATAAAGTAGCTACATTTTGATAAATAATGATAAATCATTCATTCTTTTTTACACATTTTCTCTTTCAATGCTGAAATGGAGACATTATTTAATAGCTGCCGCAAAAAGTGAATCATTTTGTCCACATTGGGACGGAATGTGACCACAGAGTAGTTGAACAAGCCTAATGTGGTGTCTATCTTACTTTACAGGTCAAACAAAGAATTAAATTACTTGTGTATGTACATATACATGAATCTATACAGTTTAAGTCATGTCTGGTGTTCATAATTCAAAATATACAAAACTAATCAGTATTAGCATCTTCACGCTACAAATTTTATTACAAATTGCTCCATTATGAAGCTAACAATATTGCTCCAATATTATGAAGCGAGGATAAAAAAAAAAGAAACAACTATGCTGGCATAGTTTTTGGCTACATAGTGCATTTCCTTTAGTCTTCGAGATACGTCCATAATTCCTTGGGAATTTAAAGGGATGGTGTTCAATTAGACGTAATGTGAGCCCCTCAGTTTCAATTGGCCCTAATGCTATTGTTGATGGTTGCGATAACTGAATAGGGCTTAGTCTCGAAACTTGTGGATGTCATTGAAGAGTCTGTAGAAGGGGTGGGAACCTTCGGTGCCATGGGGACAGTTGAAGGTGCACCTGCAGGACTCAATCATCATGACGTTCTTGTTGAAAGATTCGCCGTCTTCGCAGCGGAACTTGACTGCTATCGTTCGGGTCTGCTGCGGGCTGCAGCAGCGGCCATCCACACAGGTACCACAGTACTTGGGTTTGTACTTCTTGAGGCTCCTACAACCTGCATAGGTGAACTTCACTGGCTGACTGGATCTTCTGGTCCGGCTGCACTTCTTTCCCTTCTGTTACAAAAGACAAAGCCAAGAACATTTTACTAAGGGGTTTCTCTATGGCTGATGCTTTTACAGTTTTCATAAAAGCTAATTCTATTGCAGATATATTTACTCTGGAGATGTGACTATACCTTTAGAGCAGAGTAGGAGGAATGGCCACATGGCCGTACTTCACAGAGGCGTGACTCCTTCACCAGTTTGCATTCTTCGTTATTGTTGGTGACCCTGGTGGAAATACCTTTCCCACAGGACTTCGAGCACTGGGACCAAGCTGTAGTTTGGGTGATGCATTTCTGTTCATCGAACATGTGGCTCTCAGGCTGGATTCTAAAGACTGCAAAACAGTGAAAAAAAAACACGATGAGCAATTCCTATTCAATGTTAGCTTATAGTACACAAAGACGACCGATGTCTGTCAACAATAAGCACACAGAAGTCGATTCTCACCAGGTAGAGACTTGAGACCTCCTTTAAACAGGGAGATAAGTTCATTTCTGTTGGTGAGGTCATTCTCTGACTCATCTGTCAAGCCATCCTTGAAGATTATGTTAATGGAGTCAGTCTGCTTGCTTTCCTCACAGACCCACTGCTCACAGCACTGGCCAGGCACCTTAACAAGCCTGGGGTTTGCGCATCCCAGATTGGGTAAGGAGAGCTCCTGAGGGCACAGCGGAATGCATCCCACGGCTCCATCGATGCAGGTGCACTGGTGCTTGCAGTTTGGCTGGAAGCTCTCGCCATTCTGATAGATCTTGCTGTTGTATTCACAGGGTCTCCCCTCTGACTTAGCTGTTTGAAAAGAAAGTATCTCGTTTATAATATCAGTAGTATAACAAAGTATCGGCTTTCAGTTCGTTAACAGGATCTACTCCACGTACCGGAATTTAGTGAAACGAAACGGAACTATGCACCAACTAAAGCAGGTTCACGCTATAAAGTTATATCGTTTTAAATTAAAATCGTTCGCCTGGTTTATGCATACCTCGACATATGCCTCGCGTCTCACCCAGGCTGGCCCCGAAGTTGCACTCCAGTCCTTTCGTGTGGTCGCATGTTTCCAGTTTGCTGCAATCCTCATTAAGCTGTCTGGCGCAGACCTTGCAACACCCACATCCATCAAAAACAAGACTCACTCCCGGTGCGCAGACGGGAACCTCAGGAGGACACATGCATTTCGCCGGGCAGGAACAATGCACCTGTGAATAAATGAAAGCTTTTAGAGACCTTTAACATCTATCGATAAAGTCCGATCCCATCTTCATTTTGTCTGTTAGATCCGGGTGTTTTACACTTTTCAGCACTACAGCTGGTTTGGTAACTTAATATCACAAGAAGAAATTGGCAAAACGGTATCTTCATTTTAAAAAAATCTTTCGTATTCAATTTAAAATTAAACACATTCTGCAAAATATCGACACGCGTCCATAACAGAAAAAAAACTAACACCAAATAAACATTTACACTGAACTTACCATACTGAAGCTTCCAAGGAAAAGACAAAGTATGAATAAGAGAAACATTCTCCGCCTTTCCCGCGATTTTCAGACAGAAATATATATTTGCAACTCGATCGCTGACTTTATCGGGTGAATAATTATAGTCTTCGTTGATTTTCGCCCTTCCCTGTTTCTTATGCTGCGATTGTGAGATCTGTGCAGAGATCGGCTTTCAGTTGCAGTCTGCCTAAACGCAGCACAGCAGCTCTTTTATAGCGTAGTGAAAGCTGACGTACCGGTGGCTGACTGCTGAACTGTTCCCAAACTATGCCAGGAATGTTTCTCGGCGTTTTCTCCATCCAAGCCAAGCACCACCCCGTCTCATTTTTTTCTCCTTCCTTTTTGAATTATGAATTTACCCTTACTCGGAACGCCTCGGGATCTGCTTTTTAAGCATCTGCGAATATTTGCGATTTATATTGCTACCGGATAATTACACGTTAGAAATCTGACCATATTCGTAAACTTTTCGTAAAGACATCCAAGAAAAACATCCATGAAAACGCAACGTATAATGCAATCGACATTTCGTTTGGTTTCTTTGACGTGTTCATGACAAACTTTTTAAAACGCAGTTATTTTGAAACGAGATCAATGATATCCATCAATATAATCAATTAATGATAATCCATTGTAATAATAATTAAATATTCCTAGGAATCAATGCAACACGGTGAATAATAACAGTAATCGAATACTTCGTCTTTTGCCTTTGGTTGTGACTAACTACAGCTCCACAGAGGAAATAACTCCAGATACAAATACCAGTCCTACATGTGAACCAGTAATTACTTACAAGTACTAGGAAATCAAGCTGTGATGGGTTTACTATTTTATTAGCCTATATAAATCCTTTAGAATGTTAAAGTTTAGCAGAAATATGCACGCTAGATAAGACCTAGCTCGCATCATAAGAAATCTTGGAAATGAAGTAAACTTGAAGGAAATTGATTGAGTAGTCAAGTAGTTTTCTCCCTACTATCCTTTTTATTCTGTAGCACTAAACAGCTCCAGATGGCGAATACTCGAAGACCCAACACGTAACAATATTACCATATTTGGTATGGTAAGTATCTACGCTATTAACATATTTCTGGTTCAGTTAGCCAACCGCAAAGCATTCTTGACAGCCTAAAGGTAGTTAAATATGTTCTCTGCAGAGGAAATTCTTGTGCTTTTTCCTCGGGTTAATTTGGTTTTCATGCAATCTATCCATCAACATAAAACAGTAGAGTGGTCCAATTTTCCATATAAGATGTTGGGTCTGTGGAGGACAGTGACTCGCCAAAGCAGTCTAAGGCTCTTTTCAGTTGGGATTTAAATATGTGACCACGCAAGAAATATTGTCTAAGTAAAAAAAAAAAAAAACAGAATTGGACCAAGAACACAACCTTGTAAGACTTCGGTAGCGTTCAAGTAGCGCACCAGGTGAACGCAGTTCATACAAAGTAACTTTGGCTGCAGCGTGCGCTTCACAGTTCAAGCTGGAAAAAACTGATTCAGATAGAGGCAACAACAATGAATTTGCGAAAAAGGAGGACAATGACAAGGACGACACGGTTAATCAAGTGAGTAGATCTTTTCACTGGATCTGTGCATGCAATATTAGGAGTATATAAATAATTTTATGTTTATCCTGATCCTGTGATAATGGTTAACTGTAAACTGGTAGACTACTCGGTACTGAGTGATTTCTAGATTAAATATGTGCCTGGTTGTCCTACCCAACAGGACAAAGTGCATCGCTAGATGTTATCGGTTTAAAATTTGACGTCTGTCAAAAGTTATGTACACTTTAATCGGATTAAGACACCAGGTGGTAATGTGAAATATATTGTTTTTTTCATGTTTTATACTACATGTACTTTATGATGTTGATATTCATTAAATCACTGGAGTGAACACGGATAAGCACAAATGGGAGGGACTGGAAAGCATGCTAGTCATTTTAAAATTTGACGTTACGCTCCGCATCATCAGCTCTGTGACTGTGACTCATTATACTCAACTGGTTGATTGAAACAACATCTTGGTCTGAACTTTTAATTTGTGGACCTGAAATGTCCACCTCTGCTATCACGTCTACACGTCATCATGTATATCTAAAATTATGCAAATTTTTAAATGGGTCACAAGGTCTGAATCCCAGGAGAGGTTTTTAATTATATCTTGAGTCAATATTTGAATTGTCTCAGCAATGTATTAAATATGTAAAACTGTAGGCTATGGAATAATATTGGTTATTGTGAGGTTAATTTGATATATTAACTATATAATAAGGTAATATGAATAGACCTTTCACTGGACTTGAATTGCTACTGTTTATATGAGGATTTTACAAAAAATATATTTCTTAATTGTTTAGGACTCTTTTCAGTATAATTAATACCACTAATTCTGATTCACCTGAAATCTTTTTTAGTTAATTCAAAAGCTTATCGGGAAAATACTCAAGTAGCCTATATACAACCTCTTAAGAAGGATATTTGGGAGAAAGGCAGAAGGTGGTACTCCTGGAATCTTAAAACCAGTCAGGATAAATGAGAAGATCTGGACCAAGTAACGACTAACGGCTGTCCTGGGGTATGGAGGAATGTGCTTATAGATGTCTGAGGGAACATTCCATCTAGGGCTATCTAGATGGCACCATAGAAATACTCTCCCTAGACAAATGTTTTTCACATTACATTTCTCAATCTTTTAGTTATAGGAAAGACCATGATTCATTCAGAAAAGCTATTCTACTGCTCAGCAAAGCATCTGGACTTCTGACGGTGCTGTCTAGCGCTCTGCTGTTAAACTGTGGAAAGAGTGACATATAGAAGATTAGCTTATGAATGTGAATGCTACATTTATATAGCGCTTTTCAAGACACCTAAAGCACTTTACAGAACCAATGGGGAACCACTTCTTCCACCCACCACTGTGTAGTACTCACCTGGATGATATGCAACGACAGCCATTCTGTGCCAGTACACTCACCACACAATAGCTTTGGTGATGAAGGGGCAGGAGAGAATTCACCAAGTAGATATAGGGGACGATTAGGAGGCCAGATTTGATAGGGTTACAGTGGGCAATTTTAGCCAGGGCATTGGGGAACCACCAATGCCCAGCAGGGTTGGGGCCATTCCGGAATGCATTGATCAATTCCAGTCCAAATCAGGAAATGGAACTGGAGCTGGGATTGGAAAAAAAAACTACGGGGAACAGAATTGGAGTTGAATTTGAATTTCATGGAATTGATCAATGCATTCCAGAATGGCCCCAACCCTGGTGCCCAGGGATCTTTTATGTCCTCAGAGAGTCAGGACCTCAGTTTTATGTCTCATCTGAAAGATGGCACCATATTTACAGCATAGTGTCTCTGTCACTGCACTGGGGCATTGGGATCCACACAGACCATGGGAGGGGATCCCCTTTGAAGTTCTTGTTTTTCTGTGTGAAATTTGTATTGACATCTACAAATATATGATAGATTTCCCCCCTAAAATATTGCTGGACCAATAGGATCTGTTATCCTCAATATGCCTTTTCTTTGAAAGCAGCAATAAATTTCAACCAATCAATTTTTATTCAATTATCAGGTGTTTAATTCCAGAGCCAGCCTGGATCTTCCATACAACCTTCTACTCTGCCCTGATCACCTTCCATGAGTAAGTAATATCACCTGCTTACTGTTTTCTGTGTAACTTGTTAAATGCCAGGTGTTTCCAGCAGCTCATTCCGATGTATCGTGAGATGTACTCTCTACTGAGCATTTCCCTAGAACAGTATTTCCCAACCAAATCCCCAGGGACCACCAGACAGACTGTCTGCAGGTCCCCGAGGACCAGATTGGGAAACACTACCTTAAAGTATTAGTATAACTTGGGTTGTTTGACCCTTGGATTGTCTGCCTGACCCTGATTCTTTGTAGTGCTATTGATTGAGATTCTTTTCCTGGGTCTATCTTGGTTTGGTTGACTGACCTTTCTGCCTGCTGTACAACTATGGGTTCTGGACATTGTTTTGGTTTTGGGTGAAGTAAAAACCATTATGGATTGCTCTGCAACTGGACCTCAGGTTTGGCACATCAGTTCATTTGTAGAGAAAAGCGTGACCTTAAATCTAGGTAATTATGTGGCATTAATTGTGTTTTTTAATGGAATTACATATAAGCAAATTGGAAGTAAGTGAAAACTGCACATTGTAAGTTTATTGATTGTATAAAGTTCCACTGAAGGTGAACTTGGACAGATAGGGTGGAGGATTACTAATACTAATTAATTTCCCATCTCAGCCAAGTGATGCACTCTGACATAGAGTATAGCACATAAGAATTACATAGAACAGCTGTGGGTATTAGAAACAATAGCCTGTAAGAGAAATCACAGTTATATTGCAGTCTAATTGTTGCCAAAAGTTACAAAAATCTGACAACAGGAAGACATTTAAATGGCCCTCCAGCTGTGCAGCAGACAACAAAATACAGAGGAAACAGATATTCAGTGAGATTGAGAAAAAACAAGACAGAGAACCTCCCAGCACCGTTACGGCTTAGACCTGCTTCCTGTAATTGCTGTACCAGATAACAGCATTTCAACTCTATAAGTCAACTCCAGTGACTAAAATATGAAGCCAAAATATAACCCACTTTCTCTGATATTTATGATGGACAATGTAACTTAAACAATGAATCATTGACAAAGGCTACCTGATAAAATGAGGTGCAAGGTCAATATTTGTTATATTCAAAAATATAACAAAAAAAATATTTTTTGTTTTTTATTTGGGCTGGTATTGGGCCATCTAGTACAGTTTTTGGGACGTTCTTGGGCTGCGTGTTTTGCCAGAACCTGGAAATCCTATTAGGAAACCACATTACATTTTGACTTGATTCGTTTTGTCTTTCATACAAGGGCTTTCATCCAGTATGACATACACAGCCAGAATGGAGAACAAGTCATTTATTCAGTGTTTTTACAATTTAGGTAAATACAGCAACACTATTCTTCATCAGAAAAGTGGATCTGTGAGGCCAAAGGTGCAGCGGTAATGCAGTACCTGGCAGAGTGATCATGTAACTGCGGGGCCCTTGAATAGGGCCCCTAACCCCAAACTGCTCTGGAAAAATAGCTGACCATGTGCTCGGGCCCCAGGCTTCACTCTCACCTCTATATATGTGTCTCACGGCATAGCAAGATGGGATATGTGAATAATGGAAACTGAGTAATCCCTATGTTCTTGCAATCTGTCCTGTACAAATAGCAAAATGAATGTATTGTTAGTATCAGTATCATATAGATTGTAAAAATGTGGGTGCTATGTGCTGGGTTAAGAAAATATGTAAGTGACGTTTGACTGAGGGGCAATGTGTGGCTCACTGGGTTAGGATGCTGTGCCTGTGATTGAAAAGTCACTGGTTTAAATCCCAGGCAGACTGATGACTGCTGGGCCCTTGATCAAGGCCTTTAACCCCAACTGCTCCAGAGATGGCTAACCCTGCTTTCTCAATTGTACAATAACTTTAAAGGCATCTGCTAAATGAATAAAATGTAAATTATGCTGGGAGCTCACTCCACCAGTGGGGGGTGATGCTGAAGATTTATGGAAGATTTTATGGGCAGGAGCTATTCCAGTACTATGATCTCAAAAGGTGTGATACCATATTATCCTGCAAATAAATAAGATCTTAACATTTTCCTATTTGGCAATTCAGAAGGGGCGACATGTACAAAGCATGTGTCAAGTAATATTACAATGTTACAACAACAATAGGAGGTATGATTTAGAGCCATTAAACACATTTTTATTAACTGCCAATCCAGGTGCAGATTTAACTTAGTGGTTTTAAAAACTAACCCCGTAAAAGAAAAGCAAACCAGAAACTCTTTCTTGCTATTTTATACGTTGCGCAAAGGTTGTTTCTTACATTTGTCCACATTACTGATGTGAAACGGCTGGTCTACAAATCTAAATAATACTGCAAACAAAGAAAAGTTGGAAAATGTAATTAAAATATATTTAATGTTATGTATTGAATGTTGCAAGACAAGACATGTTTACATCCTAGGTTCTCAAAATGAAAGGGAATTACTTGTGCACAGGCCTGGACTGGCTGTTAAACTGGGCATGCTGGGCATTTTCATCGTGGGAAACCCCACAGCCGCTTAGCAAAAGTCATCATGGGGACACCAGGGCTAATTTTTAATCCCCCCCCCCCCCCCATTGTGCCCGATGTGTAGCTGGCACATAAAATATTTTGGGAACAGGTTAGAGCAAATAGGGAAATGACTCCATGAACTGTTATTGTAGACACTGATACCAGCCTAATAAAATACTCAGATACCCACAGCCCAGGTTTTTATAGATACTTTATAGATACTCTATTGATCCCCTTGGGGAAATTGTTTTTACGCCTCCCTCAACTTGCGGTAACCTTTAGATCAGCAGTTCAAACCCCAATCAGTCCTCTGATTAGTTAATTAGGGAGCTGCAGTGAAAACGTATGCTTATATTTTATTAGATTTGGAGCGAGATTCTTTTTTTTTCGAGAGACAAACAAGAAACACGAACTCAAACCACATTAAAAGCTTTATAACATTTTAGTAGATCCATAGCGATATTCTTTTTTTCGATAGGCAAGCAAACCACAAACAAACAAAAAAAAAAGTCTGGTAAAAGTCTAATATTGCATGCTAGGATACTATTTACGGTCATGATATAGGCCTAGTATTCTCTAAATCGACCACGTGCAATTACATTTATAACTATTAATACATTTAACAAAATAAACATTTTGAAATATTTATAAAATAGAATTAATGTGACGACACATGGGAATCTCGTACAACAAAACTCCCTCGGACATCAACATCGCAAAGGAGGCGTGTTTCCGACAGGAGGTGACGTTTTTCATGACGTTGTAATCCGACTTCCGACTCTGAGAGAGGTAATCAAACGCGGGATATATACTTAAAATGTGAATGTTCTGTTACGGATTCTCGACAATACAAGATTTATTCTGAAATAAAAAGTTTAAAAATGAAATTAAAATAGACAAAATAATATTACATATAGTATAAGTAGAAAAATTTATAAAGTGATATTTTTAACTTTTGATGGATAAATATTGGATATTAATATTTAAATATCAAAATTGGGGTTTTTATAAAAATGCGTACTTGACCATACTTGAATTCTCATGTACCCGTTTTATGCGACGTATCTTACACTGCTTAAGACCAGTTCCAATACTCAAGAACAGAAGTACAGAGGACAGTAAAAATCCCCAGATGTCGTTCTTGTCCTGTCCCAAATATCAATGATAAATCCTCGCCGAACGAGACCAATCCCACGATTCATTGCGCCTCATCAATCGTGAAGGCAAAGGTTGCAAGACCGGTCTTTGTGTTTTTGGTATTGAGAAACGCCTCTGGATTCTCGTCCCACCAATAACTATATCGTGTACAGTATATATATAACGCTCTGAGAGCAGCTGAGTAATAAGGCAGCAGCAATGGCAAGCTTTGGCAACTTCACGCACGCAATCGTCCGGGGTATTCCTGCATCACTGGTCCAAGAAGCGCTGAGAAGCAGTTTATGTCAGGTGGATCTAGTCAAAGCCCAGCACCAACTGCAGTTACACATTGGCACCCTAAAGGACGAACTGGGACTCCAGGTGGTTGAGCTACCCGCTGATGAAAGCCTTCCAGACTGCGTGTTCGTGGAGGATTGCGCGGTGGTGTGCGGAGACACCGCGCTGATTACCAGACCTGGGGCGCCCAGCAGAAGAAAGGAGGTACTATGTTAAAATACCTCGCTTACCATCAAGCAAAGTAAAACTAATGTGTCGTGCCGAAATCCCCCCCCCCCCCCCGCATTCTCAGTATCGCGGTGTTTTAACCGCATTTAATTCAGAAAAAGTTTTAAAACGAGTGGTTTAAGGGTTTCTAAAGTAATTACCTAAGTATAATGCGAATTATTGGTTATATGTCGCTATTTTATCATCTCTATGTAGACTTCCGTGTTATGGCATTCAAGCCTTAAACATGCAATGAAATGTAATTTTCCTCCCTGCCAAAATAACCCCCCTCTCTCTCTCTGGATCGGAATGTCAGAATGACTTCATATTTATTCTGCTGAAATCCCTTGACCCCCAGATTATACTCTAGAAATTACAATAATGTAGCTGCAATACCTTAAATTCAGTTTAAGTCGTTCTTCTTAAACCTTAAATGAGGTCAAAACACCGCGAGAAGGGGTTACAGCACAAAGTGTACTGTACTGTTACGTTTTCCATGGCAGTGTCACGCACGTAAAGGCAGTGTCTCGTG